CTGTCCATGTCCCAGGTTGACTTAGCTCCTCCATTCTGCCCATTACAGTATTTTCTCTCTCTCATGTTGTTACATGAGAAATCTCCATCTAGAGGTAAAAATTGGGAGATGCTTAGAAGGAACAGGAAGGAGGCTGCAGGAGTTAAAGCTTAACTTTTTCTTCATAAGCACAAGTGAGCAATGTCTGTCCTCCTCCATGAGCACAAGGGAGGAAAGAACAGAGCTTTGTAAAGACCAAATTGTGTCAGACCAATTTAATTTCCTCCTGTGATAGAGTGATGGTCGAAGATGATAAAGAAGAAGAAATAGATATTATCTGTATGGGCTCTAGAAAGGCTTTTGATTTCATCCAACATGACATCCTCATCAATAAATTAGGAAGGTCTGGTCCAGATCATGCTGCAGTTGGGCGAAAGCCCCTCTTGACAGAAAGGCTTTGCAGCAAGTGGGAGCTGTATGTCCTTCTGGATTCAGCGCTGCCCCCGCCTTGGCATTCTGTTTGGAGGGGTACCATACTTGATAGGATGCCACCCAGAATACTTGTGAAAACCAGACGATAAGTCAAAGCAGGGATAAGGGTATATCCTTAAAAGGGGTGGAACCATACCCAAGAAAAAGGAAGATTAAATTCATTCAACATACAGCATGAGAACACTTGGGCTGGAGAAGGAAAAGAAATGCCATCGCCACCATTTCAGGACACGTGAGGATCTAGACTCCCTGAATTCTAGAGCTAAAGGGACCTTTCACGTCCAACTGCCCACCTTCCTCATTTTGCAGAAGGCAGCCAGCCTGAGAGGAAGTGAGTGCTAGAGGCTACACAGCTGGTTAGTTGTAGGACTGAGACTAGAATGGCTGGTCCGTGTCCTTTTTACTTCAACCTGCACTGTTGGCTGATACACACACACACACGTGGGTTCTTAGGGCATTTTTTATACTTCCTATCACTCACCCATTTCAAACCTACAGTTCTATGATTTTTTGAGTAAATGTGCCAAGTTGTGCAACCATCCCCATAAATCAGCTTGAGAACATTTCCAGCACCCCACTGAATGCCCTGGTGGCATTAAGGGTTAGATCCTGCCACCAGCTTTCTCCCAGCCCTAGGCAACCACAGCAGGGTTGTTAGTCCTTTAGTGTGATTCGAGACCTGGTCTAGAAGAGAGACTTTTGGTGTCTGTGGATTTGCCTTTTCCAGACGTTTCATGTAACGGAATCGTACAGTAGATGGTCTCCTGTGTCTGGATTCTGACTACTTTGCCTAAAGTTTTTGCCATTCACCCATGCTGTAGCATGTATAGGTGATCTGTCCTCTTTGCTTGCCAAAAAGTACTCCGTTATATGGACACGTTGTATTTTTTTTAAAGATTTTATTTATTTATTTGACAAAGGAAGAGATCACAAGTAGGCAGAGAAGCAGAGCAGAGAGAGAGAGGGAAGCAGGCTCCCTGCTGAGCGGAGAGCCCAATGCAGGGCTCGATCCCAGGACGCTGGGATCATGACCTGAGCCAAAGGCAGAGGCTTAACCCACTGAGCCACTCAGGTGCCCCGACATGTTGTGTTTTATTTATGCACCAGCTGGTGGACATTCAGGTTGTTTCTACCTTGAGGCCATTATGAGGAATGTGGCTACTAGCGTTCATGTTTCTCTCTTTACTTTTTTATATTCAGTAACTTTCCCCCTTCACATCCATCAGATGTGTCCTCTTCCCCTACTCTTTTTCCGTCCCAATCTGGACAGTAGAGTTCCCCCAGATGGCAACCCAAGATGTTATTAATGTTCTAATAAATAGCCTCGGGGGATTCAATGGTCCAGAGAAGAAAAGGTTTGTTAATCTAATAAGAGTCTTTTATTCCAAGATGGCTTATGAGAAACTATTAGCCAAACGCCCTCCATCGTCATAGGAAATAAGTGAGAGGAATCGGATTTAAACGTCAGGGAAAACCACTTCAGCTGGGCACGAGGAGGCTTGTTTTATGTGGCAGTGGTTGCTATCAAGTTAATTTGCAATATTATAAAAACAAAGTCCATGTAATGTCCTCCGAGAGAAGCTCCTGTGAATGGGTTTACATCTCTCTGAGGCCAGATGGCCCTGTGATCCCCTAAAAGGAGGACAGTCCTCTTGGGGCGCTTTCTTCTGTGTGGTGAAGGAAGACATTTGGCCTTTGGTGTTCACAGAGGCCATTTCATTGGGCCCATGAGACCAGTTATTGGAGTCATTGTGGCATAAAACCAGTGGTTGGAGAGTTTTACACAAACCACAGGGTGTGGTGGAAGGAGACATTGCTCCCGTGCCCTGAACAGAGCAAGGTCTCCCAGCTGCTGCTCTCTCCCTAACAATAGCTACTACAAGCGTGGTTGTTCAGTTCTAGAAATTGTACAGCTTACAGTGTAATTTCACATCTTCTCTCCTTTTGACTTCACATTCGAGCCTGGAGAGTTCCCACTGAGAGACCGACCATCACGCGGCAGTTAGTTCAAAGCCCTTTCCAGCCCAAGTCCGTTCTGCAGATCTGCCTCTCTCTGCTGTTGAGCCCAGAACGGACCATCATCACGTTTCACTGTTTCTTAAAGACCACACATCCTTTAGCTCCTCTGCATTTTTGCTGTGCTCTCCCTTCACATCCCTTGTCTGTTCAGAGAGCTCTGGCTTGGCCGTAGTCAGGCCTGCGTGTTATCTCTTGTGTAGGTCAGTGTTCTCCTTGGCAGAATTCATCACTCCCTTTTTGGGAACCCACAGTCCTGGATAATAGAGCGCACCACTTTTCCTCAGTAGCTCACCTTCCCTGAGTCTTTCTTTCCTTATCACAAATACTTTGTCTTTCAGAGGAATTCTGTGAAACTTAAATACCAAAAAATACTATATACAAATGTAATAGTTTGGTATTAATAATAGAAATGTGGGAGACTCCTGGGTCGCTCAGTCAGTTAAGTGTCTGCCTTTGGCTTAGGTCGTGATCCCAGAGTCCTGGGATCGAGTCCCATATCAGGCTCCTTGCTCAGTGGGGAGCCTGCTTCTCCCTCTGCCTGCTGCTCCCCCTGATTATGTGCTCTCTTCCCCCCTCTCTCTCTGACAAGTGGGTGGATAAAATCTTTTAAAAAAATAGTAGAAATGTGAATATAGATATCAGGTTATAATTACAACTAGTTTTTGGTGGGTGTTCCCAATCCTTGAGCACAGCAACCCTAATGTATTTGCCTTCATCTCCTAAACACTGAATCCAAGTCCTCATTCTTAACAAATGAGATTGAATTATTGTGAACTAGGCATAATGAGATATTACCACCTCGTACCCATTAGGATGGCCAGTCAGGAAGGGAGGAAGGAAGGGAGGGAGGGGTGAGAGGAAGGAAGGAAGGAAGGAAGGGCTGTTGGCTGGGCTGTAGAGAAATTGGAACCCCTGTGCACTATTCGTAGGAATATAAAATAGTGTATCTACTATTGAAAACAGTATGGTGGTTCTTCAAAAACTTAAAAAACCAAATTACTCTATATGATCTGAGAGTTCTGGTAGAATCAACCCAAGCATCCACCAATAGACAAGTGGATAAACCAAATGTTTCTTATACATACAGTGGAATATTATTTAGCTCTGAAAAAGGAAATAAATCCCAACACTTGCTATAACATGGATGGACCCAGAACACATTACGTTAGGTGAAAGAAGCCCATCATGAAGGGACAAATCCTATGTGGTTCCACTGATGTGAGGTCCCTAGAGCAGTCAGACTCATAGAGTCAAAGTAGGACGGGGGCTGCCAGGGCCTAGCGGGAGGAGGGAACGGGGAGTTCCTGTTTAATGGGGACAGAGCTTCAGTTTGGGAAGATGAAAAAGTTTCTGGGGATGAACAGTGGTGACGGTTGCACAATGATATGAATGTACCTAATGCCACTCAACTGACCTCTTACAGTTAAGACGGTAAATTACATGTTACGTGTACTTCACCACAGTTTCTAGACATTTTATTTTTTTATTTATTTATTTTTAAAAATTATTTATTTATTTATTTGACAGAGATCACAAGTAGGCAGAGAGGCAGGCAGAGAGAGAGAAAGGGAAGCAGAATCCCTGCTCAGCAGAGAGCCAGACGTGGCGCTTGATCCCAGGACCCTGGGATCATGACCTGAGCCAAAGGCAGAGGCTTGAACCCACTGAGCCACCCAGGCGCCCCTGTTTCTAGACATTTAAATTCAAAACATTTAAATTTTTAAAAACAAGACGCAAAGAAGTCTCTCCTGGTTGGTTCCGTTTGTTCAGGGCACGGCAATCAGTTGATGGTGTTCGATGTTGAGATAATGGTTACCCTGGGGAGGGAAGAGTAACTAGAAAGCAGGAGGTGGTTCTAGGGCATGGCCATATTCTATCTTTTGATCTGGCCGTTATCACATAGGTGTGTATGGTGTGTGAACTTCTCCGAGCTCTCCAGTTGTGACTTGTAGGGTTTTCTATGTGTCTGTTATACTCCAAAAATAAATCCAGAAATGGAGATCCTTAGGGCCACAGCAGACTATAGAGTCAGACTCTGTGAGGATGGGACCAGGGGACCCTGCATCTTAAAACCTTCCCTTACAGGTTTTTCTTAAGAGCATTGGATTTGGGGAATCTTCACTAAAAGAAAGGGATCGGAGAAACAGCCTCCAATGCCCAAGAATCCCATTCTGCACTAACAATAAATACTCCTTAGAAAAGAAATTCTTGATATCTTGGAGTCACTTAGCTTCCCCGGTTAGGAAAACACCTATCATCTTTCAGGTGCTGAGAAATCAGTGATGTAGAGAAAGGTGTGAATGTGTATTTTAATATATTACATTTAAAAATAGTATTTCTTATAATTCGTCATAAGCACAATGACTCACGAATATTTTGAGGCCCTCTAAAAACAGGCAGGTGCTAGGACCTAATGGAAGTCAGGCTTTCAGTAGGAGGGGAGGCAGCACTATGGGGCGTGGTCCCCTGGAAGCAGGTACAGAAAAGCCAGTTCTTCCACCTGGAAGCTAATGAAACTCCATTTCAACTCTCTCCACACCACCTCCGAGACACCAGCAGCTTTCACACTTGCTTGTCAAACCAAAAGCATGTTTCTTGCAAAGGCTTTATTGGAAGGGGCCGATCGAGGTCTTGGAGAAGCTCTTGGAGGCCTTCTTAGAGGAGGCGGTCAGAGAAGAGGAGGAGGAGGAGGAGGAGGAGGAGGAGGAGGAGGAAATTTCGGAGGGATAGTTGGAGGAATCGTGAATTTCATCAGCGAGGCCGCGGCAGCTCAGTACACCCCAGAACCGCCTCCCACTCAGCAGCATTTCACGACCGTGGAGGCTAATGAAAGTGAGGAAGTTCGTCGGTTTCGACAGCAGTTTGCCCAGCTGGCGGGACCGGACATGGAGGTGGGTGCCACCGACCTAATGACTATTCTCAACAAAGTCCTTTCCAAGCACAAGGACCTGAAGACCGACGGCTTCAGCCTTGACACCTGCCGGAGCATCGTGTCCGTGATGGACAGTGACACGACCGGCAAGCTGGGCTTTGAAGAATTTAAGTACCTCTGGAACAACATCAAGAAGTGGCAGTGTGTTTATAGGCAGTATGACAGGGACCGCTCTGGGTTCCTGAGAAGTTCCCAGCTGCGCGAGGCCCTGCGGGCAGCGGGTTTCCAGCTAAACGAGCAGCTTTACCAAATGATCATCCGCCGCTATGCTGATGAGGATGGCAGCATGGATTTCAACAACTTCATCAGCTGTCTGGTCCGTCTGGATGCCATGTTCCGCGCCTTCAGATCCCTGGATAGGGACGCAGACGGTCTGGTTCAAGTGTCCCTCCAAGACTGGCTGCAACTGACCATGTATTCCTGAAGCCGGCCCCTCCCCGAGGACGGGACTCCTGACAGCCTCGCTCTCCCGTCCCCACGGCGGCTGATACCCTGTCCCAGAGCTGTCGTTTCCTGCGAGCTCATATATCTCCCTGCATGCTTCTGAACTGGGACTGCCCTTTGGTGATCAATTAAAACAGATTTTCTTTTTTTTAAATGAGAAATGTTCTGAGTGGTTTGTATGTCAGCTCTGTGAGATACTGGATGTGTAGGGATGTATGTATGGGGTCGGGGGGCATGGGGCAGAGCCCCCTTGGAATAGATTTTAATAGGGCATTGCTTATTTGGTGAGTGAATTCCAAGGAGCAGGAAACTTGTTGTCATTGAGAATGAAATCTTGAAAAAAGAAAACCCTGGAGTAAATCAAGAAAGCCCTCAAGAGATCTATTTTTCCCTTTAAAAACGGTGAGGAGGAGGGAAGTTCAGAATCTGTTTTTCTCTTAATTTCACATCTGGTCTTTCCATTTTGAAAAAAAGAGAGGGAAAAAAAGAGAAAGAAAAAGTGTTTTCCTGGAAGCCTATTTAACTGTATAGAAACAGGTTCAGAAAGGAGAAAAGAAGCAATTTCTCGTAAGGGAAGTATATATAAGTTTTTAAATATGGAGCAACTGTCTGAAATTCCAGAATTCTTTAGTCCTGTTTCTCTAGTAAAATAAGCATGCAGCAAATTTGTTTTGTTTTGATGTATTTGTAAAGAGGGTCAGGGCATTGGGGAATGAAGGGTGGACCCGTAGCCCAATATGTCAGTCTCAATCATTCTTCACATGCTTCATACAAAATCAGGCTTGCCCAACACACGTTGGCTGGCTCTTGTCGTGTCTTGCCCTGCCTCAGAGCTAGGAATGTTTTGTTGTTGTTCCTTTTGCGAAACTGTGAACAGAAGAAACGTAAGCGAAGGAGCAAAAAAAGGTGTGGGGGGGAGCATAGAGTGATCAGTTATTTGGTATATAAAGGAATATAGAGATATATAAAGATGTTTAAGTACTGCTGAGTGTCACAGGGGTTCTTAGTCCGGACTGTGATTCAGAGGGAGAGCTCTTTAGGAATACTGACGGCTGAGTCCCACTCCGGATGCGTTGAAGAACTTTCTTTCGAGGTGGGGCCTGGAGACGAGTATTTTTAAAGCTCCCTGGGTGATTCCAGTAAGCAGCCAAGGTCACCAGCCTGGGCAGTTGTCCCTTGCTTGTGTATGGCCCTTGGTTTGGCTCTGTCATTTTGATTCAGACGGTGATGATGGGGCGGGCAGAATCCAGAATGCCCAGCTAGGCAAGTAGACTGAACCACGGGGGCTGTGTATGCAAGGACTCAGTAACCCTCCCCTCCCCACCACCACCCCTGCCCTGCTATTGAATTGGTTCCCACCGCTCTGGCTTCTCTGGCTCTCAGTGCCCTCCCTCTCTCTCCAAAGGCTGGTTTAGAGGGTCCTCCTGAGTTTGAAGATCAATTCTTCCTTCCTCTTTTGACCCATTTCAAGGAAAGTTTAACTCTGGAACGGATGTCACTCTTCTGTTAACAGTCCGCAGCGGCAGGTGAGAAATCCCCAGGGCCAGTTAGGAGAGGTTGGCTTTCGGCCTCCGCACTCACCATCGTCACCATCGTCACTATCATGGGATATTTATACAACACTACGTGCGTATACTTCTGCGCGGAGTCAGGTCCAGAGACCACATCCGCCTTCCGCGAGGGACCTGTACGTGTAAGCTCGCTCCAGTGGGCTGCCCAGCCACCTATGCTCATATCAGAAGGAGGCTGTGCCAACAACCACACACGTTAATTTCAGGATCCCCATGTTAGAATCAGCCCATTCATATGTCAGGCGTGAGCGTAGGCATCTAGCCAAGAAAGGGGAGAGCTGCCAAGGTGCCTTTTAAGGCCTCAGAATATTAGGTTTATTATTTAACCTTTCCACATGATGGCTACAGAAAGGGCAACCGAGCCTTACCCTGGTGGTCCTCAGTTATTTCTAAATATTTTATGAAAGTTAAGGTGGTTGCGTCGTGCTGGGGGTGGTGGTAAGTATTTTTCTTGCTCCTCGGGTCAAGGGATTATCTGCTCTTACGATTCCCTTCTTGCCCGCCCAGGGCAAAACATCCTGAAGTCACCTCCATGTCCCTTCTGTTCTCTTCTGGATTTGTATAACGTTTGTACGGATCACCCCAGACATTAGAGAAAATGCTAGAAAATCCAGTCTAAACTCCGGACTTTGTCAAGTACTCAAAATTTTGGCATTGCGTAGAACCGAGAGCCTGATGAGTGATTGAACTTCTTAGTTTTTATCCAGTAGTTGACATTTTCAGGGCACATTTTCAATTTAAGGGGGAAGAGTATTTACCTGATGATTTTTTTTTTTTTATTTTGCCATTTCTACATGGAAGCCTCCTTATAGGCTGAGACAAGGGTCTTTGATTCATATCATTCCATCCCATGATCTTTCAATTTCTAACATGAAGCAATACCATCGATGTAGTAAGTTGAAAATAATACTCAGCGATTTTAAAAAGCATGTGAAGGGGTGCCTGGGTGGCTCAGTGGGTTAAAGCCTCTGCCTTCGGCTCAGGTCATGATCCCAGAGTCCTGGGATCAAGCCCCACATCAGGCTCTCTGCTCAGCAGGGAGCCTGCTTCCTCCTCCTCTCTCTCTCTGCCTGCCTGTCTGCCTACTTGTGATCTCTGCCAAATAAATAAAATCTTTAAAAAAAAAAGCATGTGAAGTTGCACAGTCTCCACCTTTTAAATTTCAAAATACCCCATATGATTTCGAAAAACACCTTTATCTTAATGTGATCCACAGGACTCTGTAACCTGTAACAGCAGGAAAAAGAACGTAGGTCTGTACTTGACGCATGCATGCTGTGTACCTAAGAAAAGCAGACCTCCAAGAATATTCTAAATGTATACATCATCTTAAAGGTCACATTTTAAATGTCTTGAGTAGTGGTGCATGTGTTTTTAAGAACTGTTTTTTTTTTTTAAGCCAGAGATTTCATCAGTAATATTGCACAGCTAACCCATGCTGGGGCCTTGAAAAAATATTCACAGATACACCTGCAGGGCCCTGATATTTAACACGTCTCTTGATCTTGAGGTGCTTTCAGAATTACTTCTTAAAAGTGTCTGTGTTTAATGCTAAGTGGATTAAAGCAATTTAATTCTGAGAAAATTGGTAATGCAATTATGTATGTGGGTGGAAATACGCTCTTAATAAGCGTATTTGAGTAAACAGAATACCTCTTCCCAGACTCCTCTGGAAAACTGAGAATTTACTGGATTTTGATAATAGTACTCTTTTGGATTTGTAGTCATCTTCAAAGACTCAAAGTCTTTTTCTGTTGGCTGCTGCATAGTAGCTTCTGTTTTTAGGTGAACATCCCTGAATTGTTTTGATGGCATTGATTTTCTCTCCTTTGCAGGGATGATATCAATTATAACACACCAAAGACAATATAGACCTATTCCTTGGGAGTTTACCATCTCTCAGTATATTCAGAACTGCATCCTTACATGTTGCTGGACTTGGAAGGTTGTAAAATATATCCAGTTCAGTAAGAATGAAAATGTTGACTAAATCCAAATAGGAAAGGCCTCAAGGAATGGCTACCTGAGAATCAAACACAGGAACACCACCATTTGTTCCTTCTGGACTTTTAAATGGACCATGTCTGAACACGTGGTCTGCCTTCCCACTGGTCTGAGAAGCCAGCGTCGTGTGGTTATGGGGATAGCATGGTGCGGGAGCACTGGGAGATCACAGTGACCCCCAACTTTCACTTCCGTGCTTTTCTGATCTGCTGACCACCAGGGAAGGGGTGGGCCCCACCATCTAGAGTTCCAGCCAGGCTCAGTCATCCTTTCTCTTCGCAGTGACCCAAAACAAATCCGTAGTTGCTACTCAGGGCCGTCCTGGCTTCCAGATTAGGACAGATAATGGAGGGATTAGAGTCTCCTTCCAGAAAGCTGGGCTCCTCCTTTGAAATGTGGCCCTACAGTATTTTCAAGTCTAGATTTTTTTTTTAAGTTTATGACTCTTCCTGAAAAGTTTAGTAGGTTTTTAAAGAAAAGAACCACAGATCTGAAGGATAATTTTTATCATGGAACTGATTTGAAATAAAAAAATTAGAAGAGTGTGTTTTGTTGTCTACTTTTAAATTATCTGTTTTTGAATGGATTTTATTAAGCTACTTGCTTTGATTTGAATGATTTAGAGTCCAATTATCTAAATTTTCATTGGAGTTCATGGTAATAGCAAATTTCGTGACCTCAATTAAAGCTTATGACTCATTCTTTTTATTTAAAGTCAATTAATTAACATATAGTGTACTATTAGTTTCAGAGGGAAAGTTTAGTCATCAGTAACATATAAGACCCAGTGCTCATTCTATCACGTGCCCTCCTTAATGCTCAATCACCCAGTTACCCAGTTACCCCCTCACCCTCCCACCCAACCCCCATCAACCCTCAGTTTATTGCCTATAGTTGAGTCTTTTATGGTTTGTCCCCCTCTCTCATTTCATCTTACTTTATTTTTCCTTCCCTTCCTGTATGTTCATCTGTTTTGTTTCTTAAAGTCCACATACGAGTAAAATCACACAGTATTTGTCTTTCTCTGGCTGACATATTTCATTTAGCATAGTACCCTCTAGTTCCATCCACATCATTGCAAATGGTAAGATTTCGTTTTTTGGATGGCTGAGTAATATTCCATTGTGTATGTGTATGTGTGTATATATCCAGTAATATTGCATTGTGTGGTACGTATATAAGTGTATACACACACACAACATCTTCTTTACCCATTAATCTGTTGATGGACATCTGGGCTTTTCCCATAGTTTGTGGACATCACTGCTATAAACATTGGGGCGCAGGTGCCCCTTCAGATCACTATGTTTGTATCCTTTGGATTAATACCTAGCAGTGCAATTGATGGACCATAGGGCTCTGGTTTGTTTTTTTTTTTTATTAGTTAGAATGAATTAGTTGAATGGATTATTTCTAAGATTCCTTCCAGTTCAAAGTTTTATTATTCTGAATCGGGGAACTTAACAATGTATTATTGTATTGATCCGATAATAAAATACCTGAGAATAATTTCCATGCTGCTTTTTTCCCCTTTCCATTACTAAGATGAAAACTTACCTATAATTTCCCGTGGGATTGTCAAGGGTCTGCTTTTTGTCAGTCAAAACCATTCAGAGATAAGACTGCTAATGAGTATTAGAGGTCCAGAATATTACCTTGTTTTGTGAATAGTGGTGCTATGAAGGGTTATTTACACTTCTCTTTCTCCATCTGCAAAATGAGTCATGGTGCTTGACCTCTGTGTCAGTGGTATAGATGAAAATTGAACGCCTCACCATAGACAACATAAATTCAGAAAAGTATTTACAATCATACAATTATGATTGCGTCCTCATTGTCCATTGACCATTCTTCTACTCCTTCTTCAGACCTTCCATTCAAGACTTCTGTGTTGCCTCATAGAGGAAGCCAATTGAGGAACTAGTGCATCTATCGTGAGCAGTAGGTCTGTGGTTCAGTGAGCTGCTGGGGCATCTCAGCCCTCGATGGTGTGTAAGGAAATGAATGACGGTGGCCCAAGAAGGAAACGATGTCTCTTAAAACTCCACTGCCTCTAAAATTTCTGGGGTCATGAAAATGTAGCTATTGACTGTGCTGGTGATCACCCTGTGAATACATTTGTCGAAACACATTAACTGTACCCTGCAGATGGGTGCTTTTCATTGGATGTGAATGATACTTTTTTTTTTTTAAATCATCTTCCTCCCCCCCTCCAAAAAAAAGTGGTTCAAGAAAAGGAAGAGAGGCGCGTGGGTGGTTCAGTGGGTTAAGCATATGACTCTTGATTTCGGCTCAAGTCATGATCTCAGGGTTGTGAGATCGATCCCTGCATTGGGCTCCGTGCTTAGTGGGGAGCCTGCTTGAGATCTCTCCCTCTCCCTCTGTCCCCCATTTGTGTGCTGTCTCTCTCTCTCTCTCTCATATAAATAAATATTTTTTTAAGGGGAAAGAGGGGGCACCTGGGTGGCTCAGTGGATTAAGGCCTCTGCCTTCAGCTTGGGTCATGATCCCAGGGTCCTGGGATCGAGCCCTGCATCGGGCTCTCTGCTCAGCAAGAAGCCTGCCTCCCCCTCTCTCTCTGCCTGCCTCTCTGCCTACTTGTGGTTTCTCTCTCTCTGTCAAATAAATAAATAAAACTTAAAAAAAAAAAGTGGGGGGGAGGAGAAAAGGAAGAAAACAGCTCCTTTGTAGATAACCAGACAAAAATGGAAGTCAGTTGACCTGAGTTGTTGTTTCAATAAACCCTGTTCCTTAAGGGAAATCTTTAAAATATCTTTGTTTCTAAGGTCTCAGGTAGGAAAGGGAAGTTAAATTGTTCCTCCTTTTAGTTCCCACCCTGCAGTAAGATAAAGGAATAATATAAAAGCGACTCTTAATCTTTTGAGTCTTGGTTGCTTTGAGGAGCAGGCCAGAGCTTCAATTTTTCTTCCCTAAAAACATGTACACACCAAAACTACACACCTTGTCAGGGGCTTCATGGCCTCCCCTTTCCCCAGGCTCATCTGTGAAACCTCCGCGAAGAACACTTGCCTTAGTTTTAAAGTGAACCCAACGTCATAGGTAAGGGTCAAGGAGAAAAAGGTAGTCTTTGTTTTCAGCGCCTGAGTGTGCTAAGCAGTGGAAACACACTGCCACACAAAGAAACCAGTCCTTGCCCTGAAGGAACTCCTGATGGTGGAGATGCCGATCCTTAGTCACAGTTAAAGATTACGCTCTTATTGACGCCAAACATCATTTGTTCATCTGTCAAGTACTGCGCTAGCCTTGTTGTTCCTAGTTCACACTTTATCTGGGAATTCATCACTTGAAGATTTGGCGGCCAAAAGGCTTCTGACACCTGGGATTATCATCATAGAGCTTGTGTGCAGTTCTCTTTCCTTCTCCCCTCTTCGTCCTCAGGGTTCCTGTCTAGGTGAGTGGTTCATGCATAGGAAACCCTGCTTTGGGTCAGCCTGACTTAGAATCATCATTGACTTCTTCGTTGCCAACATGAAATACCTCCTGCGGTGTATAGATAAGTTCAGGGTCTCTTGCGTCTAAATGCTTCTGCTCATTACTAAGCAGAAATATATCTTTCTTCCTTCTGAATTGGGAACAGGTGGACCCCTGGCTTGCTGTTTGCTCTCAGTGCAGAGTTTTTTTCCAAGCAGGCTCAGTGCATGATGACATTGAGCTGTGTGACATGCCTGGGTTTCACCTTTGGGGCTGTGATTAGTAGTAATTCAACTAGTGGGCCCGCTAATTGATTTCTCCCCTCCTTCCACAGAACCACGACGGCAGTATCGACTTCCGCGAGTACGTGATCGGCCTGGCTGTCTTGTGCCACCCTGCCAACACGGAGGACATCATTCAGGTGGCATTTAAGGTATTGTCAGCCCCCCTGAAAGCCTCTCGGTCTGCCTCGTGAACAAGCGTTGACGCGAAGCGTGTTATTTGAAAATCAGTGAAATCTGATCGTCGAGTTTATAGATCTGCTGTGCCGTGTACACAGGGGTAACGTGATGACGACCGTTGCTCCCGAGAATAAAGAAAACACGGCATCGAGTTAAGCACAAGGGAAGGCATCGAGACTGGAGAGCAGGTGATTTCACAAATTAGCTTTAAAAATGATTTCTGTCCAGCCTCTCCATTTTGAAGCCCCAAAGTACAGTTTATAAATAAATACCACCTGTCACCAGCCAGCCTAACTCACCATCTGGAAGGTTCCCATCTATCCTGATTTTCTCACTCTGTGTGCCAGAGATATTTTAAGTGCTCTTTTCCAGGTGGAGTTGATGGTGTGGTGATGGTATCCGATGAGCTTCCTGATACACATCCCAGGTCCCCACCCTGTGTGTTTTCCCATAGTATCACGTGTATTTCCACAGCGGCATCAGGGAAGGGGGTGGCCGATGAATAAGACCCCGTCCGCAGCAGGACTGGGTGGAGGGCTGAACTTTGAGGACTCAGACTCCCTTTATCCTGCCCACGCCCAAGAGATAGGGGGAAGAGACACTCCCAAAATGTGTTTTTCATTTTTCTGTGATAAACGGGGCTTCTAATTAGTCTTAGAACTAATTAGAATTAATTAGGTGTCTAATTAATATTTAGGGAGGATGTTCCTAAGGTTGTGTAGTTTGATCTCAAGTGAAACAAGACTTGATTTCCCTGCTTGTCTCTGTACCGAGCTGTAGATACTGACCCATCCTGACTTGGCTGTCTCTCCGCTTCCGTCCGCCATGACACCCGAGGACCTTCCCTCTTCCTGTTTCCTACTCTCCTCTCTTCCTGGTTTCTGAGAAGAATATCCCACTGTGATTCTGACAGGTTTTCTTTCCCCTCTATCATCTAGAAAGACACTCTTTCTCCAAGAGTCCTTTGTCACGTTTTAGAGGCCACTGGGGCCAGCCTCAGGAATGTTCCCGCATTCTACCATTGACAGAGGAGTCCCCAGGCTTTCTTTTTATTTCAGATTGGTTTAAACTGAGTTAACTGCGAGGCCCGTGAAGAACTAAGTGGTTGATGCTTAGCAGATGGTCATAAGGCAAGGGCCAGAACTTTTTCCAAGTTTAAAACGTTTGGCTTTTACAGACTTATTCATCATAAAACCTAAAATTATACACATAGCTAACTTATTCCAATCCAGATATTTCTGTCTGTGTTTTGGGATTGTATTCGTAATTATAAGTTGAGCTGAGCAAACGGTCAGTTTGGGTTTACCGATGAAAGATCTGATAGAAAATTTGGCCCTCGAGCCCAGTAATTATTGTTTTTAAAGACGTCGTGAGATTTTTCTCTAGCCTAGACCTTGGTCTGGTGTGGAGGAGGGAAGCAAGGAGGACTTAAAACTATAATTAGTTCTTTTTCCAGTAAGACAAGGATCATGCTTTACGTTGCCTTTTTTTTTTTTTTTTTTTTTTTTTTGCCACGTTCTCTTTCAGGGGTGTTGGATGTTTTTGAAAATATTTTGGCACGCTTGTATTTTTCAATGGAGTGTTGTCCTTTTCTATGCACAGGACCCTGTCACTTCCTTTAATCTGGGAAGGCCTTCACAATGAACTCCCCTTCTCTGAGCCCATTTTGTCGTCACAGAGACCTGCAGAGCTAGAGGATTAGCTAGAGTTCTTCAGCCGTGAGCAACAGGCATGCGCTATGGCCGAGACATCTGTCCTAAGGCCGGGGAGGGGGCTCCAGGGTCAGCTCGGGGGCAGCAAGTCCGCAGGCCCCGTGTGTGAGTGTGAGCACCTCTGCCTCTGCCCTCAGTCACACTCCAGGGAGGGTCCAGAGGGCCTACAGCCACGTGCTTGCTGGAAAGACAGGATGTCTGGGCTGAGGGTCCCGCCGTATTCCAAGCAACAGACAGATCTCATTACCCAAAGGAAACTGGGTTCTTGAGCTTCCTACCAGGGCCCAGAGCGTGGGATTTACCTTAGATCTGGGAACCCTGTAGCCGAGAGACTATCGGGAGTGATGCGTAACAGAGGGAAAGTGGGCATTTCTCTGAGGGGCCCAGCCTGGGGCAGTCATGACGAGGCCAGAGGGAGAGAGAGGAAAAGCACCTAGTGTGGACACGCGAAGGGACTTTCCACAGAAAGGAGAGCCACCAGAGCACCAGACGTGACAGATGGAGTGCAGAGGATCGTGTCAGAATGGAAGGCCTCTCAGGAAAGCTTAGCGCCCGTGAGGAATGGGCTGGGCTGGCGCGGGGAGCGGGGGGATCTCCTGGCAGTTACTGCTGGAAGTCCAAGCCCATAGAGAGCCCTGGGCTGCACTTCGTGCAAACAAATGCTAAGCCACTTTTCACTCTGCAGCTGTCTTGTCCCTCACATGGGGGCTGGGGGACAGAAAATGAGCAAGCCCCTGCTTTCTCAGCTGGGGCAGCAAATCAACAACGTCAAGTGCTAGTGTTTTCTCCCGCCCTGGTGGACAGTTAAAACACTAGTCAGTTTGTGCTTGTGGTTCTTTTTGTGATGATCACACCTTATCTAATGCCTCTGGTCGTGTGTTTGGTCAGAAGCAGAGGCCTTAATGGCCAGCGCTCTAGATGTTGCCTGCCTAGTTTTGGATGCCAGCTCCACAACCGACCAGTTGGTGACCTTGGGAAAGGGACCCAACTGTCTCGGGCTTCAGCTTTCTTGTTGGGAAGCCAGGGCTAATGACGGCGCCTGCCCAGCATAAGACTGTGGTGAGGGTGTCATCGGGTAATACAAGGACAGTGACTTGAACACTTCGGGGCCTGCTGGGAATCAGAGCTGGCATAATTTAAAACCATGAATGCCCAGGAGAAGATTTTGAATATGGGATAGTAATGATCTAACAACGATCACAGCTTTGCTGCTTGACTTTGAATCTGTCCCACCTACTGCCTTTTCCTTTCGGCCTATAAACATGTTCAGACTCTCCCTTCCTAAAGACAGCCTCCTTTTGTGCTTGGCCAATGCCCCCCTTCCCTCCTTCCTGTTATTGCAGGAGCCCATGCTGGTTGTCTCCACCGCTCACCTCTCTCCGTTCCCGGCCTCCCATGACCACCTGGCCTCCCGTTCCCTGAAGCTGCGCTTCCCAAGGCACCCGGACCTCCTAACTGCCATCCCGGCAACTCTCTTTGCTTCTCGCCCGGCCTCACTGTGGTATTTTGCTCAGTGGGCCTCCACCGCCCTCAGAGCGTCTCCCTCTTTCCAGAAAGCCCTCCTGAGTCCCAGTGGCACGATCCTCCTTTCCGGTTCTCTCTGAGGACTTCTTCTGAATCTTTTTTTTTTTTTTTTTTTTTTTGCCAGCTCCTCTTCCCTACACACACTTGAACCCTTGCTGCTCCCGCGCTTCCTGTCACTTTGTGCATTCTCTGCAGATAAGCTCCAGTCCCCCCAGAGTTGGCAGTACTTACCGGAAGTCATGGCTCGAGCCTCAACTGCTCTCCTCGGCTGAGGTGCTCCCTCTCATACTACCCCCGGGTACCTCTGACTCAAGTCTAACCTCTCCAGGTCCAGCTTTTGATCTCCCGCTCTGGGGAGCCCACCCCACTTTCCCCCAGGGGCCCAAGCCAGAGTACCGCAGGCCACTCTCACTCCTTCTTGCCGTCCCCACAGGGCCCCGACTGCTAGCCAAGCCCCACCTTTGCATCCTCGTAAATTCTGCCCCTTCCCATCCTTCCTGCTTCTCCACCCCCACACTCTTCATTGCTTTCCCCGCCTCTAGACTTTCCAAACTTCTGACTCTAATCCATCCTCCACACTCTCAATGCCACACCGTCATAATCCCACAGGGTGAGGTGAGGCATCCTGCCGCCATCATGGCCTGATTCCTGCTTGTCCATCCGCCCCCCGGTCTGAGCCCCCAGCAGTCACTGCCAGCCCCCGTCGGTTCCAGGAGTATCTCTTGGTGTTCTAAGACCCAACTCAACCTGTCAAATGGGTAAAGCTTTCCCTGACTTCTCTCATGGGATTCATCTTGTTCTCCCCAGGACTCCCATGCCCTTGGGTCTCACTGTTGTTGTACCCCGTGCTTTCCTTCTGTCTCTTCCCATGACCAAGCCAGGTGTCTTGAGGGCAGCAAAGACCCCTCTTCCTTTAGATACTTCTCCCTCACCCCTGGCACAACAGATCTCGAATTACTAGACTTTATTTTCCGAGATGATTCCGTACCATATTGCTCTGCTCACCCTTATGTGTTATTTTCTCTTTCCTTCAGCTCTTTGATGTTGATGAGGACGGCTACATAACAGAGGAAGAGTTTACTACCATTTTGCAGGCTGCTCTTGGGGTGCCCGACCTGGATGTTTCTGGTCTCTTCAAGGAGATAGCCCAGGGGGATTCTGTGTCCTACGGTGAGTAGGCAGTCTGGTTTCTGCATTAGTTCACTAGGAGGGGAACCAGACTATGGATGAACCCTCACACAGGAGTGTGGTTTACCTTCCTTAATTGAATCAACCACAGAAATAGCAGGAATGATGATGACGACAGCAACAGTAGCAGTAGTGGGGTAAGAGAAGCTAATTGCTGAGAACTTACACGCTGAGTACTCTTCTAAACATTTTAAAATAAATCTTTACAGCAAGTTTACTTAATCAGCACATTTAATATTATTTTATTGAATTTATGGAATTTGACTTTTCATCAGCTAGAGAATGTCAGAGCCAGGATCCAAAAACCAAGAGTCTGGTTTTAGAGCCGCTGCCCTTCCCACCTTCCCTCTCATCAGCTGCCCCTCCTGGAAGGGTCTTTTCCTTTCTGCTCTCACTGTGGTCAAGCAAAACTGAGCAAGTTAACTAGAGTGGTTGTAACTCCACTAGAGGGGGACAGACTGGGGCACCAACGGTAACTACAGCGGCAAACCCGTCTGTCACCACGTTTGTCGTTAGCAGCTTTAGTAAGCCTTCATGTAGGCTCGTTTTCTCCTGCCCCTTGGATGGCACCCCTGTGAGGTCAGGACCATCATGGCGGAAGAAGACCCCATGGCCAAATGGCAGGTCCATGCGTCAGAGATCAAGCTTTCTCCAGATGGCTTGGTCCACACGTCTGTTTCCATGTATTTCCTGGTACAGTCGTTGAGAAAACCACACCTGAGTGGAGACGCCTAGCTGACTTGTTTCCCTGTCTTAGCTTTGATGTGGTCATTCATGTCAGGTTGGCTTCTCTTCCCCCAGCCTTTGCCCTCACCCCCTCCCATAGGCTGTCAGGGGATTCCTCTGGAATGCCTCTTTCCTCATGGTGTTCAGAGAGTTTTAGCTGTTAACTTTCATGGAATGGGAGAATTAGATCATATACTTCTTTTACACTCTGTTGTTGTTGTTTTTTTACTATCATTCTGCATGCCCTTTATTCTGTTTGAGGTAATTAAATGCCTAGAGCACTTACTCTATTGAGTTCATGGAAGGAAGGAAGGAAGGAAAGAAAGGGAAAGGAAGGATGGAAAGGGAAGGAGGGGAGGGGAGGGAAAATGGGAAGTACACACTGAGATAAAATGCAAGAGTCATAAACCCCATGTGTACTAATTCTCTGTCCATTTTCCTTTCATAAGTAAGACTCTTTATTGATCTGAGCTGCCAAATATGGAACACTTATTTGAAATGACTATTTCAGTGGAAGTTACACCACAAATGATTTATTAGGTAGTCATAACTTTACCTGTTGATTATAACAAACTTTTAGGGAAATCTGCTTTGTTTTCTGGAATTCAGTCTTTTAGTTTTAGAATATACACGGTATCTCCCTCTCCCCGATATTATGCCAGTTTCCTTTCTGGCGGCAATGCTTAAAGGTATTTAAGTAAGATTTTATGAAAGAATAACTATTGAAATGTGTCGGAATATGACCATCTAAACTGTTTTCCTTCTCAATTTTCCATTTAGATAAATTAATTGATTCCCACAGTTCCACAGATTAGCCAATTCACAGCACTTCTTCTAGAAACGAGTTACCTTTTTTTTGGAAATGAATTACTTCTTAATGCCACTGACATCCCAAAAAAGACAGAGACCTTGATCTTTTGAACAGATCCCAAGTCTTGAAAGACAGACTTTGGTTTCAGCAGATCAACTCTCATGTGTCATTTCCACAAAAGTCCTCTGTGCCTCAATCACTGAGACAGACTCATGCAGATGAACCTTTATTTTGGATGTTAAGAAAAAAATATCTAAAGACCATGTTCGTAGCTTGCCTGATTTGGAAACATAAAATGGTCTATGAATGCAAAATTACGTTGCAGTTGCAAAGAATGATTCGGACTCAGTCCAATGGCTTCCTTATTACTGAGACCTACTTCTGTCTTGAAGAGTTGTTAGTCTAACGTGCTGTGAAGTAGACTCTGGGTTATCAGAGGATTTAAAAAAAATAAATAGAAATAGATCATGGGGTTAAAAATCCTTTTATTAGAGAGCCAAATAGGTTGCAGATTCAAAGTCTAGGCTCCTTTTGCTGTATAAGCTCAGTAAAGTTTTTTCCATCCAAACAGAAGAGGAGAGAGGGATTTCAGAGTGGAGGGGAGCAGCACGTTTCAGAAACTCCAGGGTATTGGAGGCTCGATATTCAAACTCTGCTGGTTAACTTAATTAGCCTTCTATAGCTCTACTGTAGTTCCTAAACTTAAAACACCCAAGACAGAAAGGGGCCCACCACTCCGAGGTCTTGTGTTATGATCATTATATATTGTATGTTCTACTTGCCTTTATTGCTCAGAAGTCAGGGCTCAGCTTTTCAAGACTGTGTATTTGTATACCAGAATGAAGGGTGAAAATAGTTTTAAAAACCAGTAAGAAAAAGTCACAGGCAATAGCATTTTTAAACATTTTGTATTATAAAAAAATGGTAGCCATTCAGAAAACGAAATGAAACATAAACACAGAGGGTAACAGGGTTTCATAAAGCAAGCTGTTGTGTTACTACTGCTCAGGTCAAGAAATAGAGCTTTTCAAGAACTCTAGAAACCCCCGTGCTCCCTTTCCCAGCGACAGCCCCTTCCTCTCTCCTACAGGGGGGCATGGCTGACCTGACTTTAAAAAGAATACTCTCCCTTGCTTTACTTTTCAGCACATCACCGCAAAGTCTTTAAGTATTATGTGTTCGTTTTGCCTGAGTTTTTGAACTTCATAGAAGGGGCTCCCATAGTATATGTTGTTTGGTATTTGGCTGTTTTCGCTCAACATTATGGCTTTAAGGTGTATCCATAGTGTTACAACACAGCTGTTCCTTCCTCTTCATTGCTGTAAAGCCCTTCTGTCCCATGAAAATGCTACAAGTCTCCATTTCTGCTGACAAACACCTGAGTGGTTTCCATTTCTCACCTGTCATAAGTAACTGTGGCTGTGAACTTTCTTGGGCATGTCCCCCAATCACGGCGGGCACACATTTCTCTAGGTTATACACTTTGGAATAGAATGAACGGGTCATGGAGTATGTGAGTCCTCAGCTTTTCTAGATAATGGAAAAATCATCTTGCAAAGTGGCTGCACAGTTTCTAAGAGTAGAGTGAGAAGATTTGGTGATAATTGTATTATTAAGGTCATATATGAATCTGTCTCATGCCAAAAGAAGATTCGCCTCTGTTTATTGGATTTTGTTTGTTTTTCCCTCCCTTTCAGAGGAATTTAAAAGTTTTGCCCTAAAGCATCCAGAATACGCTAAAATATTTACAACCTACCTAGACCTCCAGACGTGCCACGTGTTCTCATTACCGAAGGAAGTCCCGCCAACTCCCTTGTTCGCCAGCAATAAAGTCAGCCCTGAAAATCATGACGAGAGCCCCTCAGACAAAAAAGATGACTGAAAGCAAATATTTACAATAAGGGAAGGATTTTCCTTGAAATTGCGAAGGCATTTGTTGATAGTGTTTTCAAAGTGATTTCTGAGTAATGATGTTTAAAACGAAGAGCTTTTTAAAAAAAAAATGGTAGCTTTTCTTATTAAATTGCTTTTATCCATGTATGTGTATTATTAAGTAATATTCCCTATCTTTTATGTTATATTGTGTTGTACCGAGGGGTTTCCTGGTGACAAAGATGTTTTTATGGATTTTCCACTTTAATTTGCAAATGCAAATGAATGAAATGATCTCATTTATTTACTGATGAACATTAATCAATGCTGCAGAGAGTTTTAAAAAGTGCGAACACTCTTTAATCTACTTTCCTCTAAGGACATGAAGTGGTAGTGTTATTCGAATCCCTTCTCATTCCAGAAATAGGAACGCTGCGGGATCTTATGCCTCTAACTTCCCAGATGCATTCTTTCATTTCTAGTTCAGTTTCTTGGATCACTGAATATGATGGATTGGAAGGGAGAGCTCCCGTTAATTCGATGAGACTTCTTAGATCTCATATCCTCTTAATTGCAGATTTCCTTACCCACCTGCTAAGGAAATCATATCGTTCTACAGTTTAGATCTTTGTATTAAAGAGCAAGGCTATGGCCAAAGGCTAAGTGGGAATTGCCTTATTGCAGGTAACCATGACTACCTGCCTGGTGAGAACATGAATCACTTGCCACGGAGCCTAGTTTGAGTTGGGGTAGTTCAGAATGTAGGGCTTCCCGAAGAAGGTGAGGCAACAGCTTAACCCCCTGGAAAGAAGCTAGGCAGTGACATCTTTCCCTCAGGTGACACAGTGATCTCCCCCAAGTGCCATTTTTATTGGATGTCACGCATCATACCTATTGTTAATGTCGCCCGCATTTGAAATTTTGAACAGAGTATCAATTTATATAATGCGATGTACAAAAAAGAATAGTTGGTTCATTTCCGAATTCTGTCTTTGAATTCGGTCTCCTTGTATTGGTGGTGTTTCTGAATATATTGCCGATTTACCCCCAAACTCATTTTTTAAAGCCATTTGTGAAGGGGGGGGTGGGATTCGTCACAAGAGGTGAGTCATCATTTCAAACTAGTTTTACACATTAAGCTATGAGTGTTCTAATTTAATGAATGAATTTGGATGTTAAATGTGTTATCCTTCCGTGTATAGGGTTGTTTGCTTTTTTGGTGTCTTAAAGCTGTGTAGACAGAATATTTAATGAGCTGAAAACAGTTGCTTAAGTAATTAGAAAAATACCTCTTTAATAGTAGTGTCTGCATATGCAGTGAGAAGGATGTACTACTCAGGTACCCTGATTGCTTTTTATCATAGAAAAGCCACACATTACTCCTATGACTTATGAAAAAGTAGCATTGTAAACCAAAAGTTTTCTATGAAGGTCTTGAAAACAATCCCTTTGTTTTACTGTCTTAAAATAATATCTTATGCTCTTGAAGTCCACTTCTGCCAATGTAATATTCCTATTTTATTATGTTACTTGAATAAACAAACTTGCTACATAAAATTCTTGGCAATTAAAAAATTCTGGTTTTGCCATTTTGTCTCAAAGGTAATATTACCTTTTTAATATCGTGGTTTAAACATGTTTGCATATTTATGACTGAGATTCATCATTCTTGTTTGCATTTAAGCTTTATGAAATGTCAGGCGTGATATTACTGTAATGAAAAACTCAAATTTTAGCCAAAGTTGTAATAGTATCCTTAAGGCAGCTGACTTTCAGCTGGTGGGACGTGTGTGATAACACAGTCACAATCATCAAGGTCCTTGTAGCCCAGGCCTCTCCTTTAGATTTCCTTCCAAGAGGCTTTTTTCTCCTTTAATTAGGAATCAAATTTCATTAAATCAGGTCAGTACACTATGGTTTCCTATCACCACTTAAAAAAATATATAGGTTACTCTTTGAAATGAGAAATACTAGATCCTAAGTCCTATATACCATAAAATTTTCAATCATAACAGTCCTATTGCAGGGTAATGATGTGCTACATGCTTATGGACCCAATGGCTAGCAATATGTGTATTTCATACTCCTCTGCCACTGTTTCTAGAGTTTTGGAAGGCTGGCTATGACCGCTAGCAGTGGTCCCTATCATGGAGACAGAAAAGAGACGCCTCCCTTTTAGAATTCAGGTGGGCTGCCATCTGCGGGAGGCACAGCAGTGCAAATACTGGATTCCCAGACTGGGAAACTCTCCCCTTCACACTACTGCAAATGCAAGGTGGGAAGTTGGCACTCCAGGCAGGGTGGACAGGCGGGCTCCCTACCAGAAAAATCCTTGTGTAGGGGTGCCTGGGTGGCTCAGCCGGTTAAACTTCCACCTCTTGATCTTGGCTCGGGTCATGATCTCAAGGTCTTGAGATCAAGCCCCAGGTCGGGTTCCGTATTCGGCACAGTTTCCTGGAGATTTTCCCTCTCTCTCTCCCCCTCTCCCCTCATGTGCTCTCTCTCTCTCTCTCTCTCTCTAAAATAAAATAAAATAATAAAAATTTTTTTCAATCCTTGTGTGTTTGTTTATATTTAGCAATCGCCAAAGAGGATTAAAAAAAATCACGAGTCAGAAACCATTCCCTAGGAAAGGAGAAATAGTTAGAGTCTCCCCCCACGCCATTTGTGTTCTCTTAGATAAACTTCCATTTTTTTGCTGTTGAAGTGTTATACCAGGGGGTTAAATCGGCGCTGCTTGTGATCTGATAGAGGTGAAAGCCCACAGAGTTTTTGATCCAGTATATAGCTCACAGACTCGAGCAAATACAGTAATACCCCCCAGACCTCGTGTCCCTTCCGGCCCTTTTTATGTAGCGCTTGTTTCCAGGTGATCCATAAACCTCTTGAGTGTGTGTGTGACGGGGAGCGTGCTCTAACAAGTGTCTCCCCTACACTGGGATGCCAGCTTGCTATTTTTTCTAACATGGGAACCTTAGCACGTTCTTCTCATGCTGATGAAAGAGTCTGTGTGCATTAGAAAAGATAACAAAGAAAAGAACAAACAGAAGAATCATGGTTACTTCTACTGCCCCAAATCTACAATTACTAATTTTTTGCAATGTTTCATTGCACCCTTTTTTCTAGACACTCTCACATTCTCAAGATAACGATATGCCTGTTACTTTAACGCTCTGCTTGTTCACCTTTTACGAGGTCATTAAAATGTCCCATAAAGGTACATTTTTCACTGTCCCTAATATTCCGTCAGACAGCTAGAAGATAATACATGTGTGATATTCTTCTCAGACTGAACATGAGAGTTTGGTTTTCATTTGGGGATATTACAAAGATCCGACTCAGTACTCCGTAACGGTTCATAATGAGAAATAGTTTGTCAATGGACTTATTTATGATTTCCAAATTCTAAAACGAAGATTTCACTAAAGATATTATAATTATTAAATTTCATCTTAAGCTAATTTTATTGCAGGAAAACAATTGATATTGTTATCCCAGATTACATAGAGTGTGGTCATTTTGACATCATGTAGGGGTTCACAAGTTCATGTCTTTCAAAGGTAAGTACCGGGGTGCCTGGGTGGCTCAGTGAGTTAAGCAGCCTACTCTTGATCTCAACTCAGGTCGTGATCTCAGGGTCATGGGATCAAGCCCCACTTGGGCTCTGTGCTGGGTGTGGAGGCTGCTTAAGAGTCTCTCTTTCCCTGTCCTTTTGCCCCCACCCCCCAAAAGGTAAGTACATCTCATCTTTTAAAAAATATTTATTTTTCCCTTTGTAAAAGTAACAGACTTACTAATTATTGTACTAAGTAATAACAACAATGGCCACCAGTCTGGAGTGCTTACCATGTATTAGGCATTGTGCTAAATGATTTACAAGTATAATTCATTGAAAGACTTAATGAAATATCGGTACTGAACAAAATTTAGAGCAATCTTTAAGTCACTCATTTAATGGCAGAGCTTGGAATTAAAACTGATTTTGTCTGACTACGAAGGCCATGATTCTAATCATTTACATATAGCATCACCGTTGCCATATCTATAGAATTTATAGATTAGTATCTGCTATATATATTTCCTACTTGTGGGTCCTAGATACCAAATTTTGACTGAGTTCTTAAATGGAAGAGCGACAGAGGTGGTTCCAAATGGCTCTGGGCAATAGTTGATATTGGAAAAGATGGGTGAACTGAGGCCCAGGATAGGGCAGCTGAAAATCCAGAAACCTTCCTATATGAATAATCCAAGTTGCCATAAATCAATGGAGAGGTCAACTTCAGGATCCTATGGTCATCTTTTCCTTTGTGGATAGTGAAGGAGCATGGGTTCTTTCCTTCTTATGGGTCCCTCTGTTGTGGGTCACTTTTTAGTCACGTCTCTGCTCTCAGAATAATGTTACATGACCAATAAGGTCACGTTGGAGGGAACTGAAGACCAAGTCAAAATAAGAATACCTTCATTCTCGTTGTTCTGGAGGCTCCCCTTTGCTGTTCTCCTCACTTATACCTTTGCCCTCCTATAAATTCCCTTGCCAGACAGAGAGCACCATGATTGTCCCAAAGCATAAACCAGTTACCATTTCTCCAGTAAATGTTTTCGAAAGCCGCCCATTGCAATTTGGACACAATCCCAAATATTCAACATGGCCCACAAGGCCCTACATGGTCTGGCCTCCCTTCTCTGGAGGTCTGGATCTTGACCGTCTTCTGTCTATCCCTCACTGAACTCCTACTACCCGCTCTTTCCTCTCCTCAAACTGACTAAAATCCCTTCCAGCCTTAGGGGTCTGTGTACCTGGTTTTCTTTCCAGTTACAAGGCTGCTCACCTGCCTCTCTCTTCTTCACCCAGATTAAAACAAAACAAAACAAAACAAAAAAAGCTTCATTGAGATGATTCACACATACAATTCACCCACTTAAAGTGTGCGATGCAGTGCTTTTTTCTGTTCCCAGACTCGTGCTGCCATCACATCTGATTTTTAAAATGTTTGTTTATTCAGATTCCAAATCAAATGTCATGTCCTCAAACAGGAATCCCCCACTGCCCGATCAAAACAGCCCATCCCGTCGCAGACATTCTCAGTCCCATTACCCTTGTGGTTGGACTTTACACCCCTGGGAAATTATTTGTTTATATATTTATTGTCTGTTACCCCTACCACTTCGGAGGCGCACCCAACATGAAGCAAACACTATTTGGTGAATGAACAATGATAACGTTAGGTTTTCTTGACTGTGCCTCGCATCGCATGAGAGCAAAGATCATCTTTACAACAAAGTTGAAAACCTGGCATTATGACATCCCTAATATTCCTGGAGAAATGGGCTGGGAGAGGTTCTGTCACTTAGGCCAGAGTTGTATAACAGGAGAGTACCAGGGCTGGAATTCAAACCCAAGGCTGTCTGGCTTTGAATGAGGGGACTTCTGATTAGGCCAAAGTAACTCGAACCCATAAAATAACTAAAGGATATTATATGACAGGTTTCAGTTTCCAGAAACATGGATACTAGATATGGCCACAAAACCCATAGAATGCTGAGCAAAATGTCACAAACATTTGAAATGTTAGCTGAGCATGCAAAACACCAAGGGAAACCGTCCCTGGGCAAAAATGAAAAGAGAGTTGGAAACTGGAACTGAATGAAGGGATAAAAGTTCTAAGGGACACGTGGATTATTTGTTTGTCTCTGTAACAAAGGGGCTCAGTATTTTGCAGCTCTACAAGGCAAAGCACAAGGTTTTTGTGTGAGGTGGGGATCTGGGACCAAGATCTCCAGGGAGAAAAACAGACATAGGAAGGGCTATGCTCTCAGGAAAAGAGTAAACCAGAAACATTCAACTTCTGGCAAAGGACGACGGAGGAAATGTTTCTGTCTTGGCCTGGATTCTAGGCTGGGGTTGAAAAACCTTCCCTCTGATCTTTTAAAAAAATTTTTTTCATATCTGTTCTTTTCAATGTTTTAAGACTCATGTTATAGCCCAGCCGATGGTGTGTCTTGGTGAAGAGTTTCATGGGTTCTTGTAAAGAGAACGAGTGTTCAGCAATTGCTGGGTGTAATGTTCTGTGAATATAAGTCAGACCCGGTTTGTTGATCGCTCGAGAAGTCCTCTTCTACCTTACTAACTTTGTATCCCTTTCTTCTAGCAGTTATTGGAAGAAGGATGTGGAAATCTCCAACGACGTAGTTTTATCAACTGTCGTTTGTCCGCAGCTCTGCCATTTGGCTCATAACCTTTTTTGATTATTACGTCGTTTTGATTAACCCTTTTGTCGTGATGAGTATTTATTTCTTCCAGTAATACCACTTGTCCTGTTATTAAGCAACTGCTCAGCCTTGCCAGCTTTCTTACACTAGTGTTTGCCTGCTTTATCTCTTCCCTTCCTTCCTCCTTTTAACCCATCTGTGTCTTTATACTCACGATGCATCTCTTAAATGACTATTTTGTGATCCATTCGGCTCTTCCTTTTTATCTTGTCTGGCAATTCCTGCCTTTTCATTGGAGCATTTGGTCTACTTCTAGTTAATGTAGTTATTGATATGATTGGATGTGAGT